GGGGCAGTATAGTGGGTAGGGGGGCAGTGAGGTGGGTAAGGGGGCTGTGAGGTGGGTAGGGGGGCTGTATAGTGGGTAGGGGGTCTGTGAGGTGGGTAGGGGGCTGTGAGGTGGGTAGGGGGCTGAATAGTGGCTAGGGGGGCTGTGAGGTGGCTAGGGGGGCTCTATAGTGGGTTAGGGGGCAATATAGTGGGTAGGGGGGCTGTAAAAAAGTAAATACCTTTCGTGTCCTCTTGGTCCGGTGGGCAGCTTCCCAGTAACGTGCATGGGGGCGGAGCTTTGAGCGGGAGGCGGAGTATGCGGCTATAATGATTTCAGACTGTGCAGGGAGACTGACAGGTCTCCCTGCAGCTGCTGGCAGCCACACCAGCCCCCAGCTCCTCCCTCCTTCCTCCCCTCGGACTGACAGGCTGGCACAGTCCGAGGGGAGGATTTATCAGAATGATCATTAAGGCGGTCAGCCCAGCCCCAGCTGGGCCAGTCCGGGCCTGCCACCCACTCTCTCAAACGGGGGATTTAGCTGTCCAAATCCCTACCGCCCACCAGGAATCCTGAAACGCCCACTAGTGGGCGGTAGGGACCAGGTTGACGACCCATGCTCTAGTAGGTCTTTTTTTTTTAAATTCTTCTGATCGTTATTTCTTCTTCTAATAAATGGCTTTTTTTTATATCAATAGCCTTCTTGCTTTCTTTTAGTAAAAAGCCTCTTATTCTTAAATAGGTAAAAATTTCTCTATTTAGAAGGGAGAACTCGAGCCTAAGTTGGGGAAAATCTTTAACTTTACCATCTTTCCATAGTTGCCTATATATATATATAGAGGAAAAACTCATAGAGAGTGACCACTAGATTAAAATCCCAGTCCAATCTAGAAAAAGGTCTTGAAATAAAATATTAAAATCTTTATTATTTATTATTTTTGTTATTTTCTTTCAAGACCTTTTTCTTGATTGGACTGGGATTTTCCTCTATATTTATACATTACTTTGGGTTACCCCCATTTTCCCAGTCTAGGTGACCATCTTGGCTAAGGAACAGGATGTGGAGCTCTGTTAAGCCCCTATCCTAGACCTTCACCTCTCTTCTTTATTATTATTCTTCTGCCTATATATACATATGCCATTTTGGTTGCATTGTTTAATATCTAAATCTGGGATATTGTCTTCTAAGAAGTCTATCGGGGTGTCGGGAAGAACAAAACATTAGATATCTAGCTTTTTTTTCATTTCCTCCAAAAACCAAAAAGACTATAAATTATTAGATTATATTTTAAAAACACTAAGTTTTTCTTTATTCAAAGCTGAAGACAATAGAAGGGATAGGTCTTCCTTTCCTAACACCAAGACTTGCATTTATACCATATTTAATGTTTTTTCTCCACTCTAAGCCATTTAAGCAGATGCTACATCATTGCTGCATCATGGCATTTATTTTATGTCTGGGAAACCCAATCCTCTTTTATTTATATCTCTTTTCAAAACTTTGAAGCTTATTTGAGGTTTCTTTCCTCCCCATATATATTTTACTAAGATTTTTTGTATCTAATTTAGATAAGATCGTGGTAAGGATATGTGAGGAAACCAACTATCTTTGTGAATATGTGAATTGATTAGCTTTTAATATAAATTAAGGATTTTATATAAAGTGTTTAATTAACTAAGTGAAATGTGAAGAGTATCTAACTCTTTTAACTTTATCAGTGGAAACATCTATTTCATATCTCTTGTTTTCCTTCCCCTCTTGTTTATTTCATATTCCTCTTTACTCCCTAGTCCTTCTCTTCCCTCTTTTTCAATTATTCCTCTTCAAATTGTAATTAATGTTTTAGACTATAGAAAAAGACCCCATATCACAAAAACAACATAATGTAGTTAAGGGACACTGTATCATCCCCTTAATATAATTTTTACATAGGAATAGGATAATAATCTACGGGGGGAAAAAAGAATTTGATAACTGTTCCTTGCCCTTAAGTTTCATTTTCCTGGCTAATCATGGCAGCATATACACATGGGTTAGCTCCTCCCCTACAGCCGATAGGACAGGAAAACCACCAAGGTTTTAAAAGGAGGCTCCATCCCTAAGGTCCTCAGTCTTTTTCCTGTCCTACAGCCCTTAGGACGTGAGCAATTTGCTCCCTTTACGTACGGACGTGTATGTTGTTTTATCTTCATTACTTTATTTGCTGTTTTACTGTAGTACATTATGCAGTTGTGCTTTTATGCTGTGATGCATTTAAGCTTTGATATCTTTAACCCCTTAAGGACCAAACTTCTGGAATAAAAGGGAATCATGACATGTCACACATGTCATGTGTCCTTAAGGGGTTAAACTAGTACATTATACAGCTGTACCTTATTTTTAAGATTGTTGTACATTATGCGGTTGTGCTTTTGCTAGGAAGCATTTAAGCTGTGTGGCATTTAAAACTGTTTCATTTAAATTTGCATTTAATTCTGTTGCATGTAATACCGCAAGTCATAGGAAACCGCAGTGCATTGGAAAACTGCAGTGCATTTGAAGACTGATATATTTTAAAAACTGTGTTATATTTTGGAAACTGTGTTAGATTTGAAAACTGTTACCTTTTTATACCTTGAGGCCTTTAGACTGTGGTGCCTTTAAACTTTGACCTTTTTGCACGTGGTTGCCTTTTAAACTTCCTTGCAGGCACTTTTTTAATCTATTTTGCTTCCCCCTCGGTCCCAGTGATTTATTCCTGGTTCCCTGGGTGTTTAGGGGCCATGTAGGCTTCATACAGAGTCTTCT